TTTTTTGTACCCATCAGTACTGTCATGAAAGTTCTCCTTGAATTTTTCATACTTTCTTTCATCAGACAATGTTGAAGATACATAAGCATTCTATAACCAATATAATTTTAAAGGATTAGTAAGTTGTTAATCATAAATGAATACATCATGTTGGTATATTAATCATAAGTATATACTAAAGATATTTATTTTTGATTTTTATATTAAAGATGAATACATCATTTTGTTATAATCATATGTGAATTTCAGTTGCATATACATAATTATCTTAAAGAATACATCATATTGGTATAACCATATGTGAATTTCAGTTGTAAATAAATATAATATTCATAAATGAATACATCATATTGGTATATTCATTTATCAATAAAGAAGAAATTAATGTTAGAACACAAAGTTACAGAAACTCACTACAAGAAAAAGATCCTTTTACGACGCGCAAACCATGACTATCATTGATTCATGTTACACAAAAGAGAGTGACATTAAAAAAGTGTCGTCTCTTCAAAAAATTTAAGGATTTAGGTCATGCATTATTGCGTGCCCTTAAATTAGTGTCTAAACAAAAAAAAACACTGAGGGCACATGTGTGTCATCTAAGGACGTCGCTTTATAAATTTTAATGGAACGCGCGTTCCATCCTTTAATAGCAGGGGAAATGAAATCCTAAAAAATTAAAAACAGCGCGTTTCATCCATCTTTTAGGGTTTCTATGTAAACCCTAGACCTCATTTGCAGGTTTTGTTCTCTGATCAAGTTGTTGCTGTTCGGGAAGGAATAACGAATTATTCCTCTCCACCAGCCGACAACCTTCACTCTCTGCTTCTCCTTTCTCTGTAAACCCTAGACCACATTATTCGGCTGTAACTCTTCCTCCCTTTCGTATTTTTGGAGCTTGGCAGGCATACAGTGGTCAATGATGTCGACTATCCTCTTTTATCCACCATTTTCTCCCTCTGAGACGTTAAAGACACGCCATCCCAAACTTGGAAGAACTAGGGCTTTTGTTCTCTAGATCTCACAGGAAACAAGTTTTCCTCGTCCCCACCCTCACCCATCCAAATTCCTTCTTCTTCAAATGATTATATGTTCTTACCTCTCAACCGTACCTGAATCAATATCTCTGTCTCTCTTGTGTCGATTATAGATTTTCCGTTGAATTACCTTGTTAACTTGTTGGTACTATATTATGTGTGCAGGTGCTAACTTAAGTAAAATTTCCAGCAATGGATGTTGTTACTGTCATTATTAAACCAGTTATGGAGCTTCTCATGGCTCCTGTTAAGGAGCACCTTGGACGCCCTCAGATCCTGGGGAACGAACCCAAATTCCTCTGCCATGATCACAACTTATGGTTGCTGCTACCTTGGTCTTGTTATGCACAAGACCTCCAGAGGCTGCTATTTTTAGGAAACTGCCATGGCTATTGACTGTACCATCAATTGCAATCATTAGCAGAGAGGTAAATTCCTGATATTAGCACATTGTTTATAAAGATGGCAGTGATATATTTTTTTCATTAGTTTCTAATCTTTGATGATTCTTTTTAGTTTCTCTTAAGAATCTGATCACAATGAATGGTGTATTCTAGATAACAATGTATGTATTTAGGAGTGGGCTGCTTCTCAAGGGAGTAAACCTTTCACAGGTTGCTACTTGGATGGTGTGAGCTTAATGACATGCCAGTCACTTGTGGTGTGTAAAAGATTTTCCATCTTACATTTTTTTACTCAAGGTAGAATCTGCCTCAATAAAGCTTATGTAGAATCTACTTTATTGTTTGCAGTTGGAATTTGAGACATCTGTTGTTGAGGCATGTATTCAAGAAGAGTCTGTATGGTGAATTTCCGAAATCCCTTCCCAGTTCTTGGTGGTTGAGTAAATCAACTCAAGTGTCTAAAACTTATGCAAAAATCTCTGTGTTTGCATTAGACTTTCCATAATTGCTCTTTTGTTATCTGCCCCATTTTTGTCTGGAAACCACATCTGTACAAATATATAATCAAAATGTCATACATTTATCTATATAATAATCATATGTGAATATGTCTATAAAATAAAGTTATTACGAGTTCCCTTGCAAGTTGAACAACCACTCACAGACAATACTCTCCTGATGTGTCAGCTTAGATTTTTGTCTATTATCCGCATTTGTAAGGTTATTTGAAAGCATCATCAAGCTTCTTCTCTCTTGGTTCATCCAGATCATGATTTTATGGTCCTACTTCTATAGGAATTGATACAGAGAGGATTGGATTAAGAAACAATTTTTTTGCTAATTTGATCACAACCCTTTGAGGGTCATCTTGATTTGTTTCTTTGTAAGTGATTTTTCTAGTGAAGATTCATTAGATTTTTTTACTTGAAGTTTGATTCAATCTGGACTGAGACCTAGACTAAAGCTTGGATGTATTATCTGCATGCCAGGAGATTTATCATATAAATAGT